TCCTCTCCTCTGTAGTTGGCAGAAAGCTGGATGGGATACTCCGGACCAGGATGTGGAATACTGAGTCTGCAGGTGACGGACAGGTGAGTCTCCCCCATCTCTCCTCTGACCTCCTGATTGGATCTCAGTGGTCTCACTGTTGGACCGTGGCTCCAGGCATGTGTGGTGTTTGGACTTCAAAGGAGGACTGTTCTGCAGCCCTCTTCCTGAAACCGGACTCCGATGGCAGCGCTTTGAAGACAGCGTCCACCAGGTGGCGTTATCCCCTTCAGGTGGGCTCCTCACACCCTCTGACTGGCTCTTATCTCTGAATCCTTGTCTAGTTTGGACTGCAGAGGAGGTGTGTTACCATCCAGATGTTTTCTGCTGGTAGGTAACTTGCTGTGGAAGGTGGAGCAGAAAACCATGACGGCGTTCGCCTGCGCTAAAGTAGCGGTTAAAGGAAAACGCCACTGGTATAAAGCTGCAGAGCAGACGGCCTTCGTGGCTCTGAGCGACGACTCTGCTTGGATCATCAGGACCAATGGAGATCTCTACCTACAGACGGGTAACGTCTCTAAACATCTGTCTGCAGAAGGCAAGATGCAGCTTCAGGTTTCTCCTGTGAAACAATCAGTTCATCATTATTTGCTACAAAGGAACAACAGAGGAACAAAACTCTGACTATACTGCAGTTTAACCCCAAATGATCCTTCCTCTGGGGGGAAATGGTTTTATCCAGCACAGAGGTGAAAATACAATTGGAAAATTATCGGTTAATTTTACACATAATTTAAAAACTGAATAATCCGAAAAATGTTATTTGCTGTCGACCTTCATGTAAGTTTCTGACGGTGATCTGATGGTGTCCTCAGAATGGGAAAACCTCCTTTCCATCACCCTAATCTTTAGCTGCCTCCGCAGATCAGATTAGAACTGGACGCCCACATATTGGAGGCGTGGGTGGGAGGTAGCAGAGTCTTGATTCATCCGCTGGCAGAACTTAAACACAAGGAACAAGCAAGGTTCATAAAGGCCTTCTCAAAGTCCAGACTTCAGTCAGCCGGATGAATCAAACTCTGCATCCGATCGGCCTGAGCTGACTTTGGTTAAGATGACCTCAACTTCTTAAGACACGCCCACAATATTTAACTCTTTACTGGCTGAAACATGCAGTTCTTCAAACAAATGCAACAAACAGCACCGATTGCTTCATGTTCATCTGCTGCTCTGCTCTGCTGGAAAAATCTAAATCATCATCATCCATCCATCCATCCATCCATCCATCCATCCATCCATCCATCATCCATCCATCCATCCATCCATCCATCCAT